AAGGGGAAATTGGGGGGTTTAAAAACCTTATTTTTCTTTTAAAAAAACCTTAAAAGGGATTTGAAAAACCCCATAAAATTTAAAAAAGGTTTTTGAAAATTAAAAACTCCCCCATTAAGTTTTTCCAAATTTTTTTAAAAAGGTTTTTTGATTTTATTAGTTTTGTTTTAAAAAGGGAAAAATTTAAAAAAACCTCAAATTTTTAATTTAAAATATTCCCCTTTAAATAAAAAAAATTAAAAATTTAAAGATTCAAAAAGTACTTTTTTTTATTTTTGAGAAAAAAAAAATGAATTAAAAACCCCAAAAATAATTTCAAATAAAAAAAATTTAAATTTTTTTTAAAAACTATTTAAATTAATTTAAAAAGTTTTTTGTTCCCCCCTTTTTTCCAAAAAAGGTATTTTCTTGTAGGAAAATTTTGGGTTCCCCTAAAACTTTTTTTTTTTGCTTTTGGTTTTCCCCCTTTTAAAAAACGATACCTTTTTTTGGTTTTTTACCCTTTTTTCCCGTTTTTTTGGGCGCCCAAAGCCCCTTTTCCCTTCCCCTTTTTTATTTTTTTCCCAATTGGGGGCCAAGTAAAAAAACCCTTTTTGTTTTTTTAACCCTTAAATTTAAAATTATTTTTTTTAAATTGGGAAAAAATTTTTTTAAATTTTTGGTTCCTTCCCGGTTTTGGGCCTTCCCCGCGGGGGCCTTTTTTGGTGATTTCCTAAATTTTCTTCCCCGGGCCCTTTTTTTAAAAAGGGATCAAAAATCGAGTTAATTTTTTTGGTTTTTTTGGGAATTAAGGGGTTTTGGGCCTTTTTTTTTGCAAAAATTTTTTCATGATCAATTTTTTTGAAAATTTTTTTTATTTTTCCCCTCCCAATGTAACCCCTGGTAAAAAAGTTGGAAAAAATTCCCCTCCCGGGAAAATTTATCCCCCAATTTAAAATTTGGTTCCCCCCAGTCCCTATAAAAAAATTTGGGAATAGGGGTGGGGTTTTTTTTGGGGCCCCCCTACAAAAGGGTTTTAACCCCCTTTGTGGTGGTAAATTTCCCACTTTACAGTAAACCCAAAAATGGGGCCCCCCAGTTTTTCCTTAAAAAATGTTTCCCCTTTCCCCTGGTTTTGGGATTATAACTTTTTTTTTGAATAGGGGGCAAAGTTTTTTTTGATGTCCTTTTAAACTAACTTATTTAAAAAAAAAATCGTTTTAACCGGGTTTCCCCGTAAAATTTTCCTTAAAACCCTTAAACCCCTTTTTTAAACCAATTTTTTTTTGCCCCGCAAGGGGGGAAATTTTGGGGAAATTTTTTTCAATATTTTTCAAATTTTTTTTTGTTTTTTTTCCCACGAAAAACCCCCTCAATTTTTTGGGGGAAAATTTTTAAAAAGCCTTTTTAATTTAAAAATACAAAAAACAATTTTTAAATTTTTTTGGGGGGTTTTTTTTTTTTTTTAAAAGAACGGGGGCACGTAATTAGACCCCCCTTTAAAAAGCTGAGGGGAAAATTTTTTCCCCTGGAAAATTAAAAAATTATGTTTTTCCCCCCTTAACTTTTAATCAAAAAAAGGGTAAATTTTAAATTTTTAAAAAAACCGGTTAAACGCCCCGAGGGTTTTCCCCAAAAAAAATTTTAAATTTAAACTTATAAATAAAAACCGGGCAAATTTTAATTTCCCAAAAGAAAACCCCTTTAAAAAAATCCATTTGGGGCCCCCCGACTTCCCCTTTACTAACTTTGAAAATTTTCCAAAGGGAAGTTTTTCACTTTCTAATTTTTTTTGATAGGCCCTTTTTTGAGTTAATTTAATTTTTTTTAAAACTTTTCCCTTTGATGTTTAAGTTTTGAAGCCAGGAGGGATTAAATGATTATTAAAACCACTTTTTAAAGTTTTTTTAAAGGAATTTTTTAAAAAAAGAAAACATGGGCCCCCCTTTTTTTTTCACGATTTTCCCCCCAAAATTAAAAAAAGAAATTTTTTTTAAAAAAACCATTTATTTAAAATAGGTTTTAAAAGTAGAGTAAATTTCATTACCTTTTTAAAAAGCAAAATTTTGGCCGGAAAAAATAACCCTTTTTAAAAGTCAAACCAACCTTTAAAAACCCTTTTTTTTTTTTGAAAATTTTTTAAACCTTTTAAAGTTTTTTCCCCCTTTTACACCCGGGGGCCTTTTTGTTTTTTTTCATAATTTAAAAAGCCTTTTAAAGATGTTTCCCCAAATTTAAAAATTTTAAAAAAATTTTTCCCCCTTTCAAAATTCATTCAAAAAAAAAAAGTTTAAAAAACTAAACAAACAAAAATTTGTTAAAAAAATTAAAATTTAAACAAACTTTAATTTAAACAGGAAAAGAAAAAAAAAAAACAATTTTTTTTTTTGAATTGAGAAAATGGTTTTCAAACACGGCAAAATCAAAATCCATTTTATACTGTATTTAAAGAATCGTTGTTTTCCTTTAACAACAAAATAATTATATCAGTAACAAATGCTGTTACAAGTTTTTAATGAAAACTTATTGACAGGGTAAGCATGTATGTTTAAACTTAGGCGAGTTCAATGTTATCGTTTATTTGTCACTTTTCAGGAGAAATGAATGACGCTGTAAGAACTTTAATTAAAAAATTGTTTTCTATTTACTACACGTGATGTTATCAACTTTTGTTAAACAAATATAAAAATACTTTCTTTTAATCAAGGTCTTAATTTGTGAAGACACGATACGTATCTTAACTAACGAACGAGCTACTATCTGTTTCCTTTATGTACAAGAAATGAAGAATGTCACGAGCAAAATTTCAGTTTATCGGAACCTGTCAAAGAATCCTTAATTTCAAAGCCCTTTATAGAATGAGTATACGATGCTTTTTCTCAATATTCTCAATATTTTTGCAATGCATTAAAATAAATGTTGTTTTTTTCCAAATGAAACAAGTTCTCTTATTATGAGGCACACGTTTTTATTTCATTAAGTTCCTCATGTCAGTAATGATCATATAAATTCACTATTGAAATTAAACTATATTCTCTTCTTTTGAAGAATACTGTTATTTATTATTCCTTTTGTGAATGTTAATTAACAGACGTTACAATACGGTAATACATATTCAATAAATTGTATCAAGAATCATATTCCTTAGAGCTTTGTTGAGACAGACAAACCGTCTAAAGGAAGTAAACCCGCAAGTGTTACTGTTTGGTATTGATTTGTTGGGTTTTTTAGTTTGACGGAAAAGTCGACCGTTTCCTTTAATTCACCTTTCAGAATTTTTGTGTTTGGATGGCAACAAAGTTCAATGTGTATGTACGATTATTCACAAAATCGTGGGGGAAAATATTCTTTTCTTTTATCGGAATCCAACCTTCAATTAATGAATTCTATATACAAACATTCATTAAAGTGATAGTTTTTTTTATATGAAACCAATATTTGTTTCCGTTGCAATATATTTAGATTCTTCTTTCTTTTAAATTATGAATCGGCATTCTTGATTGAACAAATTCAAGGTCATGTAATTATAAACATTAAACAATCTATTTAAACATTACCACAGATCAATTTAAATAGCAAAATATATGTTAATTTTGATCGACATCAGACTGTTATTTGACTTCATATATGTTTATAACCCGACATGGGAAAATGATTCAGGTTTTCATTTCTTATAAGAGTGAAACCCTTGATCTGGGAGACTGCCAATATCTGCAATAAATTCAGTTCAAATATGTGAGTGTTTCTAAGAAATAGACATACATGATTGGCATTTTCACAGATATTGATTTTTCAAATATCTCGTTAAGAAAGAAACGAAGCAGACACGAAATTTCTTCGACGCAAATGACAGAAGGTAGATTGTCTACATTGACTTTAGTTCAAACTGTAATTGCTGATATTCCTTACATCTAAATTTAAATATTGAACAGAATCTTATTTCCCATTTCGCAAATAAACATGTCTTTATTTTACAAACTGATATAGTTTGATTTTATTAACCTGTCAATTCCATACTCATTACACGGTCAATGCACAGAATATATTAATATTCGATAAATGTTCGGTAAATTCCGTGAGACGTACGCAGTAAGGTGTGATTAAATTCGTCTAGTTTCTATGAATTAGTTACACTGACCGTTATAGCGCAATACGGTAAACCACGGATATATAATATGAAAGTGCTACATGTTGTAAGATCGAGACAGTGTTTCAAGATTTTTTTTCTTATTCATAACTATTTTCAAAATTTTTGAAGTTATCGTTGTTCTGTTTTTAATATGTTTTACACTCTTTTGTAAATACAATATGTTTTATATAATTGATACTGAAAATTCATTCGGATTATAATCAATAAATGTAATTTCAGTGCCGTAAAATACAATACAAAATGTGACAATTCAGTGTTTTAGTTGTTTTTTATCCGTGTAGACAATTTTGCAAGCGCTTGACCATTTTCTTTAAAATATACCTAAAAAATAAAGACAGAATAAGTCTAAATAGATTGTCAAAAGAAGGGATCGAACCTCGGACCTCTCATACATTAGGTAATCACTTAACCGACTGTGCTATTGCGGATGTTACGGGAATCTACATTAAGCTAGTGGGAGTTTTCCAAACGTTAGTGATATACTCCATATTAATTCTCGTAAAATAAACGGACAAAACCGAAGTGGGATCGGATATTTAAATGAGTGCTATAATGTATTCATTATTGACAGGTCAATAAAATCAGACTATACTAACTGATATCCATGCTCACTTCAAAATATTGTTCTCAGTTCTCCTTTTACAAAATTCTATACTGTACGCTGACTGTCCTTGACGGTTAATTCCCAAAGGTACCTCATGCTTAATCTTTTATGTCGTACATAGGCTATATACAAGGGGAAAGACAAGATGAATACAGAAAGATTTCATATTATCTTACAATATCTGAAAACAAACAGAAGATAAATGTATTTGGTAGTAATTGTATGTGATGCTTAACTAAAGAGTGATGTATCAGAGAAAATAACAAATAAAAGTTTGAACATTTTATTGTTTATTTACATTAGTTAATCATACAAATGGCCAATAAGTTATGAAGATGTAAATTAATGTAAAGACTCATAATGTCATATCATGTAATAATACACATAACTTAATAACAAGACAGGGACAAATTATACATAGGAGAATAAGGCACTTCAATAATTGATTACAACAGTTAATTATCACAAACACATAAATTTATACAATATATAAATAAATACCTTGTATTGACAATATCAATTAACAAATGTGTATGAACATATTTCATTCAAGACAAGGTTAAAACCCTTTATTTTTTATCAATTAAATGAATCAACATAAAAAGTTGATTGTTAAATGAAACCTCGACAGATAAAAAAGTTCAAGCTATTGAACTGGAAATGTGTGATATCTATTCAGGCTTAATTGATCCGGTATATAAACCATGATGCTTAACAAATGATTGTTAAAGTGACCTTTGTCAATATTTTCAGATTCATGACACATGATATGACAGATTGTTAAGACAGGTTATATGAAGTTACGAAAAAGCAAAATTGTCAGTTACAAATATTATATAACTGATACAGTAAATGAAATACCAAGTTGTATTGAAAGAAACAAACAACCATGTCGAAAGGATAAATTACAATAATGTTTGAAATGCTACTGTCAACGTATCATGTAAACTATGTGTGAACGTACGCCATTCATGAAATATACCAACCAACTTCGATGTTTCACAATTCCGATATTTCTTTGAATATATTTACAATGTTGACATATTTAAATGTTTAATAATAAACAGTTATAACAATTCTTTATAGACAAGGAAACTGACAAAGAGATTAATGCTGAATGTATAACCGCATAATACATGTAATAATATTAAAACTGAGAAAGGGTTTTTTTGTTACTGTTTGTTAAACGCTGGTCTCATAAGTTTCATTCGATGACAGATTACTCGGATGTTCGTTGCTTACTATACAACCTGAAAAATAAAGTGTATAATTATGGATATATATATATAATTATTGATGCAGATAAAGAAAAAATAGTTCTAAGCATGCGTTACGACGTTGTAAGTTACTTTAAATGGTATTTGCAATGCTTATTTAAATTTGTAAATAATATTGTGAAAAATTTATGGCTTGAAATGGAAACTTATAATAACCCTAAGTATATAACACTGTCTTAAAATGAAAGTTACACTTCTGTGTCTAAATAGATTAAAATAGTTGAAAACATTATGTTTGTAAAATACTTTCAAAATATTACTAAAACATGAATATATCTTTCTTTTCTTTCTAAAAGAAAGGCCAAAACGACGGATGATCAAAGGGTTCATTGTAGTGCACACCCGTCGAGGATGGAACGGAATGTTTAATTCATTCATATAGAATAATGAATAACAAATTTATCTATTTATTTAATGCACACTTTCAAATGTACATTTTAAGAGAATGAGCTGACCTTAGATGTGCTTCTCGTTTGTTTATTATGTAAATAATCTAAATGTAAGGTATGTTTAGTTTGCTCTTGAGATACTTGCTTACCCGTTGTGCTTAACACTTGCTCACTGACCTTGTAAGCAATTTAATTTGGCAAGATTCGACGTTGAATTCGATACAATTCCGTGGCGAACATTTACCATAGAAGATCGTCGTGTATTTATTCCATCCATGTAACTGGGGTTGGCCATCAAACGTTCTTGTATCTCATACAGTTTATGACTTATATCCTTTCCAATCAGTTGTCTGAATATGTGTCTTAAATGAGGATCATGTGACAGGTAGTTTAGAAGCTGATCTTGTGGCCATGTGAAAATCAAACTGTCCTCGCATGCACTTACTGAAACCTGAAATATGTCAAGCGTATTACTTTTCAAAAATATTTATATGTAAATGATAAAATCTATTTTCTTACATATAAATAGTTGTAGATTCTTTACTGTTAATTGTCAGAATATTTATAAAAAACAGCAAACTATTATATCCTTTACATAGGTTTGATATGTTCTAATATTATTAAGAATAATTTATTTCTAACATTCCAGTTTTTATTTCAATTTAAGATAAACGATTATTTTAATCATTTAAAAGTCGATTCCCTTGAACAAGCAAGCACAATTGTCATATGTGGTACATTGTTGTGTCCAAAGTATGGCTTGAACCTACCTTTCACCGGTTTTGAGTCAGCCACCCTCCGTCAAATCCAATTTTAATTTGTGGTTAAAGTCTTACACATGCACAAAACACCGAACCCATGCTGTAAGATATCGCACATCGGTGTCGAGCAAAGACAATATGTGACTATGATTTGCATTTATTCTTACCTTGAATGTATCTTCTAGACAAGAGACACTGGAATTGTCAAACTCGGGAGAATCCACAAAATAGTTTAACTCGATGGAATGTAGAAAACAATCGTCGTAAGTTACTTTTAACCTGAAAAAGAACAAACGAAATTTTAATAATCGTTCATAGAAACTTTCATCTGATGTGGTTACTAATTATACACATTTTACCTTTTGTCTAAATATTAACAGAAATATTTGTTTAATACTAATTTAAGCGACAAGTTTCTTTTTTCTCATTCACAACCAAGAACTCCGTGTTGATCTTTTCAAACGATAATTCCAGTTAAAAAGATCTTGTTAATATCGAATGCTTTTATTCTGTAGGATTTTGTTAGCCATAATATTCACTTTTTTTACTTTTGAGAACTTGCAAGTTACAGAAACAACTGTTTCTTTCGAGCACAGAAAGCCTTTATGCAAAACTGGGGAAATACATATGTATATGGTATATACTAATAGAAATATATATTTTATATCATTTGCGCCTAGCAACAACATCTATCACTATATGTAAATGGAGCATTCATAAGACATGAATCAAACTGATAATTTGAAAAATGAAAGTCATTGATACTTAGTTGTTTTGAAACAAAAAAACCCAAAGCGTTCAATGGTTTTGTTGTGGATATAAATGAGAGGCTCTGAGTTCTCTGATCATTCTTATAGAATATTACATATAAGATATAATTATTTCTGGGGTTGTTGCGCTTAAAATTGATAATGTGTATATTATCTAGCCGGTAGAAATGAACTTTATGAGTAAATGGGTACCAAGTGTGTATTATCGAGTCAACCTACCACTATTTTTATAAAAGTCAAAGATTTGATTACAAAAGACATATTCCTTAAATACAATGTCAAATATTGTAGCTCCTTCGTCACAGAAGTCGGAACGGACTCCAAAGCAATTGAAGCAAATAAGATCCTATTTTCTGCAGTTCATAAATAAATCAAACAAAGTAAGAGGTTTAAAACATGTTTCATTGTTCAATAACGCAGTCTTTTTACACATTTAATGTGTAGACCCCAAAATCAGCTAAAGTAAGTCAGTCCTTCATTTACTAGGATAACGTTATAATTATTTTTAATCTTACAATTTTTAAAACTAGTATGTGTTTGGATATGTATGTATCTTTAAGTTTTCCACATATTAAATGAATTTATGCACATTGTCTCAGTAGATTGATGTTAACATTTTGTTGTAAATTTAAAATATAGTCGGAGAATAAGATTTTATATATTCGTTCTAATCCATTTCAACATTATATATATTGATTGAATGTATTTTATGTACTGTGTATGATTATAAATAAAATACTCGTATGTTTGTACTAAATAGAAACTTATTTTAAAGTAAAAAATTGAGTACGAAATTGGTATAGATTTAGTACATCAATACGTTAGGCCTTTATTACCAAAGATGCCTTTTTTTATCTCCCTATTATGAGTATTTCGTTTTGTTATAAAACTAACATACATAACATAATACATATTTTTAATTCTGTAAATTGTTATTAATAAATAGAATTATCAAAAAATAAACCTTGCAAAATCATTAATTTCTGTAAGAAGTCACCTTGTCAAATGACATTAAAAAGTAAAATGACTGAATTTACTATCATTTATGCATTAACGGAGTTTTAATGAATTAATATTATAAATATTATAACACAATAGCAATAAAATCAAGATAAAACATGTATATAGATGCGCAAATTTGATCATTTTCAAAAGGTTATCTGAGTAGCGTACAATTGTCAGGGTCTTATCGATAACAGACATTTGAACGAAAATAAAGGATTTTAAATGCATATTATGCCAGCCTTTTTGTCAGATTTTCCATTTTTTTCTATGTTTTGAAATGAAGTTCACAGTTTTAAGTGTACATGTATGTCAAATTAGATTTAAATGCATGTTATGATTAAAGGGAACAAAATACCTTTTGCGTGTTTAGGACATTACAGAAAGAAAGGAAACTCAAAAGCAACTTTTTGCAATTTGAGAAATTGTGATTTTTCACCTAGCTCTAGATTGTTGTTCAGTATCTTAAATGCTGCTTATTTTTGTTATTTGTGTTACATGTACGCTAATTATCATATTTTGTATTTTGATTAGATTAGCCTTATAAGCATGATAGTAAGCTTCATAAAATATGTATATCTTAAAAGCAAAAGCCAAATGCAAAACACCAAGACCTTTATGTAACCTTTTCATATAGAGATGTCTATCAATGGAGCAGTTATATTTGTTCAATATAGATGGAAGATTGCATAACTGCCCATTACATTCAGCCTGCACAGAGAGCATATTTGTTATTCTGGAATGAATACTACACATCTTTTCGAAAAAGCACGAAATAATGCGATTAAACGTTTTTGTTCTGATACAGTCATTAGAAAATGTTTCACTACATATTCAATTTATATCTTTATCAAGAAAATGACATTTTATCATTTCACAAACTGTTAATTTTATAAGTGTAATATGCAGACATACAAATCATTTGTTGGCTGAAATGGAATAAAAGACTACACCAATTACTATAATAAAAATCACCCCTTGAATAATTCCCTAGACAGATACTGATTTATTTTGCAATGCATACTAAACAGCACAGTTCGATCAAGAAGGCTGGCCAATGAAATATCAAATTCTGATGTTGTTACAATTCTTTTCTCTTTTTCTCCATTTGTTGCTCTTGTTTCTTTTATTCATACAACGTAATATGTGAATTCCTTTTAAACAAAATTTAATTAGAAGATAAAAAAGCTTGAATTTTACATCATAACTTAAGTGATTCAAAGTCTTGATAACGATACACTTTTATGGTTACAAAATACCTGGTCAAGGTATACCTTAATGCTTACACCTTTAGTTAAGATAATCCACCCCGACTCCTTTCAAATGCGGCGAATTGTCTTACATAACCGCGATAGTCTAATAAAACAGTCCCACGCAAAAATAGTGACGTTTTAAGTAGTACATTCAATTTAACTTTGTGTCCAGTATACAATTTATGAATTTAAATCCAGACAAAAATGCCGTGATAATAGCTGAAATTCATTCTAATGGTATGCAGATTATAAGAATTTGACATCAGTCACCGGTCTAGACAGAAAGATCTAGATCTATAGTAACTGTTAACGGTAAGCTCTGTCGAATGTTCGGTAACAGTTACCTAGGAACTCGATTTTCCCGTTTGTGACGATAGCAAGAGTTTGGTGCTTTCTCACATAAATCATATTTCGGACACTAATTGTTTAAATTTATTTTTCTTATAGTAGCTTGGAATTAAAGTTTCATTCATAACTTATTTACATGTATAACACTTTATTTGTCTTAGATAGGAAAGGGATGAAAGATGTGTTTTGTAAGTACCAAACAAAGCAGTAGACAAAAATGGTTAATATGCTAGGAAATGTGTCATCTACTACAATGAAAAATCAAACATTGTGAACGGCATAGTTGTAAGTTATTATAATTAAAATGAACCAATTCCTTGAAAATACAGGGAATTCAAGACAATGTATGAGAGATGACATGTGTTACATATACATTACATGCTGGTTTATATTGTAAAAAGAAGACTTTGCTAATATATAATATTTATGCAGAAATAAATGCACATTCAGGACGTCAAGGTAAAGTAAAGATTTCCAGATAATTTAACATGGACAATTTATGCAAATAGAACATGCATACCCCTTTAAATTTGATAGATGTGACATATTTATGTCTAACATTGTTCTTCTTCTGAAAAGTCAAGAGCTTTGTATAAAAATTGATTATAGAACAACAAGTTACACCTGTACATATCTTCAGAAGGCTTTTTATGTATTCCTACAGTAAATAAACTACCTCTCTTGCAATTATAATAAAATGCTCCAAAATAGTCCTGGCATCTTTGTTATAGTAAAATATTTCTGCTGAATAAAATGCTTTTCGAGGACAGTGTGTACAAAAGTAATTTCATCTTAATATTATCGGAAAAGGTTAATTTAGATTTGGTAAATAATGATTGCCATATATTATCTAACGAAAACTGTTGTTAACGTCTAAACGGCTGTACCAAGATAATTTATCCATTAAAAAACTGTATCTAAAAGCATCCTTTAAAACATTCTGCTAAACAATACTCATGTAATGGTACCGATCTTTACTACTATTGTTTGGACAAGCAAAGCGTTAGCATGTTACACTAAATGCTCCAAGCATGTGATTATTTCTACAGACGTTTCTTCTGATTATTATATATGCTAAAACGTAATATTCATATTCTCGTGGAAACATAAAACGTTTTGGAGATTATTACATACCAAAAATAGTAAAATAGTTACGAAAAACATTTATAAAAATATGTAACTAAGTTGTAAAAAGTAGATACATGATTTTATAAGATTGTCGGTATCATGGCTTATTGCAGTTGTTTTAGTTCTGGTCTTAATATAATTAAGCGAAGAATATTACAAATATTCTCTTTTTTAAGATGCATAGTATATGCGTTTAATATTTAGAATATGACTAAGCTTGTTAATGTACTGCCTCTAAAGTTGATTATTTAATTTGAACTAGATTACAATAACTGTGATACTATAGTTGACAAAGCTTTCCAGAAGAAAAGAAAGGAGATACTATGCGTTAACAAAAGTCATTGTAATAAATACGTTGGCATATCAGACAGAAACTCATATACACACATACGTTGTAATTAAAGATATTGAAGGCAAGAAACATACTGGTTTTTTTATAGTTCAATATTATCAAAGCATATACAAGTTTCTATCAGCTGGAATGTCTGTTTTGGCTCGTTTGCAATATGCACAGCCGCAGGTATTTTATCTGACTGCTGTATTGCATATTTTGAAATTATTGGAGTTAATAAAAGTACAATGAATACAAATGTTAAAGACTTATAACGTACCGCTGATATGCTGTTTCCCACATGCCATAACAAAACATATTAGTGTTCTTTTCAAAATTAAACTATTGGCAAAGAATTGCAATAAGGCATCTGTTCAATGTGTTTGTATGCTAAAAGATACGCTAAACATTAATGTCAGGTAACGTGATTTTATGACTATTTTTTGC